ATCCCGTGCCCTCTCTGGCTATCAGCACGGACGTAGCAATTACTGTCTCCTAAGCGCTCACGATGAGCAATACCTATCTCCTGGTTTTCTTCTTCAAACATTTGATATTTTTCATTCCTTCCGGTGACCTCCAGAATGAGATTTCAGTGTTATAAAATAAAAGATAAATATAAAGAGGCATCCTGTACAAAAACATGACGATTCAGTATCCGTACTATATTAATCTGCACAAGACCTAAGCTAAAGACACTCCGCCTGACCAACTCAATCCAGGACTTCAGAGAGAACGACACTGAGCTTTTTGGAAGCAGCACAACAGGACTCGGTGGTGCCCTTCTTTAGTGTATGTTGCTGGAATGAGGCGAGGGCATCTGAATGATGCAGTCCCCAGGAAAAATCTTAAGAAGCAAAACTCTATACTCTCCCAATAAACGCTGTTGCCATTTTGAAGGAAGTAATATCATTACTGCAGAGAGAAATTATATTCACCCACCAATTCTCGACAACCTGTTAACAGATCCGAATGACACACATACACAAGGTCTTGGATTCAAGGTGGAAAGTGCAATGGTATCAGCTTTGCTGTGGCAGTAAACCCCACCCCTCACCCCCAGCAACTTCAGTGTTAGGGAGCAGCAAGCAACACGGTGCCATTCTATAACCTATGATAAAAATCTATTTAGAGCATAATTTTATTTTGGATGCTTTTATGTTCCTCCCCCCACTCCCCAAGAGCTGTAAGAACAAAGAAGTGGGAAACTTCATAAGTCTGAGGAGAAAGATTATTACATGTGATTATAAATAAAGAGGCGTAATGTTTAAATGTAATTGTAGCCCAGGCGTGTTATCTTCTGAAATGTTGAGTGTGGAGGTGTCCTCCATTTAAATTATAATAAGTTCAGTCTGCTCTGAGCGACTAGTTTCTGCAAATCACATATCTGAATTCCCACAGCTTATTGTTATATTCCTTGGGCCTGCATTCCAAATGCAAAACTAAACCGGGCCATTAAACTAGAACTCACCATTTGCACTGCTTTGTTACATCAGGGATATTGTGATGCTGTTAATCTCCTCTCCTCAAACATTCCTAGATGAAATTTCTGTAGCCTTAGACCAATATTTCTCAACCTTGGCAACTTTTAGATGTGTGGACGTCAACTCCCATAATTCCCCAGCCAGTATGTTATGCTGCCTGGGAATTCTGGGAGTTGACGTCCACACATCTGAAAGTTGCCAAAGTTGAGAAGCATTGCTCTAGGCAGTCATACTGAGTGACATACTATTCCCTTTTATTCGATGTCTGCTTATAGCTAGTTGTGTCCCATTAATATACAAAACTCTTTGGGGCTTCTCTCGTCAGCTTAAATTTAAAATACCTGTCTCTGTGTCTATATAACTTACTCAAGTTCAAAATAGTAGTGTTTTGCCTAGTGGCAACTAGCATTCAAAGAACAGGGCAATGTTAAATTCCAAATTTGAGAACAGGAAGAAGCTGCCTCTCCGTATAAAACTGACAATATTGGAGTTGATTCCAAGATTTGGACCCTAAAATCCCCTTATCACAACTGCTACCAATAGAGTTACTCTTCCCACATTTTTTTCTGGTACCAGGAGAGCACATGAAATAACACTGATATTAACTCATCTGTCTGTCGATTTCCTCCTTCCTCCAAGTTTCACCAGCTGAATGGACCTTGAACACCTAACGTGCAGGAAAGTGCTAAGCTTTGTGTTGGGCTGCCAGAAACTCAATCCTCATAGCTTCAACTCTTTGCAGGGAGAACAAGGGCAGTCTTTGGTTTCTTTGTTTTCATTTTGCTTTTAATGCGAGGTTTCCACACGGAGGCACCTCTTGGTATAAAAGCCAAGGAGGTTCCTGAACCCAGAGCCTTCCTTGGATCAACACAGCAAAGGGAAGTGGGGTGAATAAGGCCATTTGGTATTGGAAGGGGACTGATCAAAACCACAGGTTGTGGATGGAACAGGGAAATGAAAGCGGGACCTTAGTTTTACTTAATCACACATTGACTTGGGGGCAAAATCAAAATGGTGGCAGGAGGAGTGTGGACTCAGAAGGGTTTGCTAGCAACCCTAGCAATCCTCTCCATTTCTTGCGCCGCAACACCAATGAGTAATACAATAGCACAAAGGACAAAAAGCCCTGCTATCCATTTCCTTGTGCCCTGTGCACTCATGATCTGGATATAAAGCAAAAGCTATTTGGACACCTTTAAAAAGTGCCAATTTCATTGTGACTAAATGCAGGAGTGTGGCTATTACTGTGAGCTGGAGAGGCAGGAGGAAAAGGTTTTATGCGGAATATTCCACCTAATTCTACTATGCATAATTCCTCTTGATTCAAAAACCCGCCAGCTCAAGCTCTGCACCCCAGAGAACTATCCATTTATCCTTAGATGTAAAGCTACAGAATGCAGTTCACCTACATGCTCTGTTGCTGCTGGCAGATAACCTTCCACAGTGTTTGGGTTATTGGTCGAAAAAGACATGTAGCATGGTTTCTCTTTTCCCCAAATTATTCAAGGACAGTTTGGGGTGTTTCAGTGTTTGTTAGAAAGATCTAGTCATGCCACACTCTCAGGGAAAACTGAGGAACTGAAAATGCAAATGGATCAGGATTAGATTTGCCTCCTGGTGAAATCCAAAGGATCTAAGAATCCTATATGGTAATTTACCGGGGAGGGAGTTGGTTCATTGTTAATATTGGCAATGAGGTAAGAGACAGCGGGATGAGACACTGGAGGATGGTTCATCTTTCTCTCTGATGCTGAGAGAGAAAGTCCAAGCTATCTAGAAAGCTTACTTAAAAACAGCCGATTCTCTGTTTTAGCTCTCAACAGCCATCAATATACCAGCTCTGAGGGGATTGAAAACCAAACAAAATGAAATCAAAACACTGAATGCTTTGAGGCTCTGGCCGTGAAACCACACACACCAGTTACCTTCTTTGATAGAATGTCACCTGGCAAATGCTAGCCTGGATGTTTCAAATAAATACGCAGAAAGGTGGCTTCTTAAAAAAGGAAGTGAAACCCTATCTGCCCACCCCTGCTACTAAAATTTCTAAAAGCAAAGGATTTTCCTGGCACCTACAGCATTGCAGAACTACAGCATCTTTGGGTCTTGCGATAAAAACTTTGAATTTTTTTCCCCCACCCACAGTTGCAAAGTGTCAGTTAATGAGAAAATAACCAACTTCATCAGGATGTATGAAAAAAGTACCTCATCTGGAAGGAAAGGGAAAATGCTTCAAGGTCACAGAAATGACGCAGTATATGTTATATATTACATAAAAATTGTGCCAAAATGTTTCTTTTTTTCCCTTGATTGTAAAAATCTGCTCTTGGTAGGCTCCCCCCCCATTGTCTTCATCAAAGAAGGGTTTTTCTTTCCCCTTTAATGCTCCCATATACACATGGGGCCAGAGCAGAGCGGAGTGCTATATATCTATATATATTAGGATATAGATATAGATATATTTCAAACCCAGACAGAAAAGTTCCTTGGTTTGTAGTTTTCCTTTTTCAAGTGAGTAAATCGATTCTTGGTTGTTGTTTTGAGGATCTCCTATTTACAGCATTTCAACTGATATCCCTTCCCCCTTCCCTTAGACCCCGTTCACCCTGCCCACCGCCCGCCAGAGATATGGTGCCTCTAGGTGAGACCGGTTCCTCCTCTAGCTCTCCCGGGACAAGAGCTGTTGAGTAAAGTCGGAGTTGTGCTTGAAGAGGGAGATTTGCTATTTCTTCCTTTGGGGAAAAAGTGCAGTCTGGGTTAAGTGTTTTTGTTTTGCTTTTCTCATTTGTTTGAAAGACACAATCCATCCAGTTTGGGGGGGGGGAAAGAGTTCAAAGCTCCTGTTTCTCCCCATGCGGTCCCAAATATGTCCGGATGGCAGCCATATTTGCATTGCAAGTACTCCTGATTTTTGCTTTTGCTTCTTCACTGGCAGGAATGAGACAGAAGGAAGAGGATTCTTCTTGCATCACTACTAAATGGTGGAGAAGGAACACAGTAGATTGATTGGGTGAGGGATTGACCCAGCTGACAGCTGCCCTCAACTCCATCCCTCCTCATCTGTACTTTGTATGGTTTCAAGCTTGGTGGCCACAGAAAAGAAATGAAAAGGGGGGAATGACTATTAAATGTGGCAACAAAAAGGAAAGCAAAAATGAAAATAAGCCAGCTCAGTGCTACTTTCTCCTTCTTCCCCAGAAGCAATGCTGCAGCTTAAGTACATCTATGTAGCTTTAAAAAGACAAAGGAAAAAAAAAGGAAGATCGGTTTTTTTTTTTGTGGCAGTCTTGCCACTCTGACGCCACAAATAAGGAGCCAATAGAAATCCCACTGATAACCTGTGGGCTTCCCAACAAATACTGGGAGGCTAGTTGTGGTCTTAGCATCAACTGAACAGCTCCTTCCTCCCCCCCCCCCCGTGTACCTTTTCCTACGACATGGGGCAGCGCAGTGGCCGTCGGCTGCATCTAAACTCTAAGAAGGCCATGTCCCTTTTTGTTCGTGTTTTCTTGTTGCCTGAAAACCAGCCAATAAAGTCATGGGGAAGGGAGGGTGGAGAGTGGGTGCAGGGTATTTCTCCATGTGCGCCATTCTCTGCACATGGCACCCTCATGGCTTTGATTATTGAAGCAATAAAAATTAATTTTCAGCTTTCAAACTTTCTCAATCTATTGTTCCTCCTCCATTTTCTAGGAGGTATTGTCATAAGTCTGATCTTCTTGCCTAGATACTGCTCTCTTTCCTCCACTGCATTCGCCTGGAAAAGGAACTGAGATCTTCTAATAGGCAATGCCTCACTTTCTGTCTGGAAAACTAAGTGGATGGAAAGATAGCTGGATAAAATGGCTACCCGTCCCTTTGGAGAAGACCTCTGCCTCCACTCTTCCTTCCACCTTCTCTCTTCCACTCATTCCCCAGCCTGCTCCATTCTCTTCTTCCCCACCATTTCTCCAGCAAAAAATGAAAATGTTCAGGTCACAGCAAGGATGCCATGTTGGGGTTAGGAGGTATGGTCCCTTAGTCCCTTTTCAGCCCCTCAAAGGCTGGTCACCAGCTGCATTTGGCCATCTCCCTCCACTGCAGGGTTCTCTAAGCTTGCTGGGACCAAATACCCATCATTGCTGGGTCTCCGGACTTGGTAGTAGGCCTGGAGCTGGTTGCGCTGCACCAAGGCTGGCCGGTTGGTATAGTAGATCTCATTGATGGCTTGGGCATGAGGAAGCACTTCCCCAACTGCCTCAGGGCTGCTGTCCGGATACGGGGAGTCCCTCAGATTGGTCATACTGGTGTATAATGAGTCCCTGTTGGGCGAAGGAGCTTGGCCGTCACCCCCCTCTGTCAGGTCAGCTGTGCAGCTTTCTGACTCCTCCAGGTCGCTCTGGTAGAGGATGGACTGTGCCCTCTGAAGCAAGAGTGGCTCCTCTAAGGCCTTATACATAAGTTCAATTTCCATGTTCTCCTCATGTGTCAAGGAAGGGGCATCAGGCACAATGGCGTCATCCTCATTGTTGGTTCCCCCTCCCCCTGCTACTACATTGGGAGGGGGAGGAGGCCCAGGGGGGTTGGAGGTCTCAGTGGAACCCCCACCTCCCTTGACCGCACCACTGCCTCCCCCCCTCAAGTTGTTATGCACCAGCTCAGAGATGATCATTTTTTCAAAGGCCGCAGCATCACTCAGGTTTCGTCGACAATCAGCCATCTTGGTACCCTCGGCGGAGAAGTCACCACTGCGGAGGGAGTAGCTGTTATTGAAGTTGCCATTGAGCGGGAGGGTGTCCATGCCACAAGCGTCTCGGCTGTTGTTCAGGGGGTGCTCTGTAAGGGGCAGCACAGATAGGGGCATTAGTGGCAGAAAATAGGAGGGAGGCCCTGCGCACCTTCTGGGGGCAGTGGAAGCAGTAACTCCAAGATGTACATTTAAAAGGCAAGCTGTTCACTGGAAACATATGAAAGACATCTGAGCAGCATGAACTCATGAATGTTTAGGCACACAAGCGCTATGAATGTGTTTGTGCTGGGAATTGCCTGGGTGGGAATCATGTGGGATGATTCCCAAGGCAATTGGCTTGTGTTCAGAGAAAGGAGGTAACATCAAACTGACTCCACCTCTACCCCCTCCACAAAAAGGCAAAGAGAAGTGAATCTAAAACTGCTGCTGGAAAGACAATTTGCGCTGAAGTGAATTGGCCAGCGCGTTTCAGGGGGGAAAAAGGGGCTTATTTCAGAGTTCTATACAGTCTCCTTTATTTCAACAAGACGCTTTGAAGATTTGATCTAACCATTTTTACAATCCTGTGGAAGAAACGAGGAACCTTTTTAACCAAACCCACTCCTGTTAAAGAGGAGAAGGTGATGGAGAAGAAAACAGCCATATGGGAAATGGCAAATGGGTTTTTACTGATTTGCTCTTGGCTGGAGAGCCTTCAGAGTAGGGTTTTCGGGCACAGATGCAACAGACACCAGCTCCCCAAAGGAAACAGGGCTGATTAAACACATTTAGAAGTGTTCATCTAAGGAAATATTCTCTTCCCTCCACCCCCACCCCCACAAGCAAACCCCAATGTCCAGAATATCAAGTTATATAACTGCACCACTGGGAAAGAATTGTTACGCTATACCCAATGTATAGTATAAGCTTTTGAGATAACATTAAATTATTAAAATAGGGCAGGGGTAGGCAACCTTGGCTCTTTTATGACTCGTGGACTTCAACTCCCAGAATTCCTGAGCTAGCCATGCTGAGGGGAAAGGGAGAGGTTTCCAAGCTGAGCCATGCTGGCTCAGGAATTCTGGGAGTTGAAGTCCACAAGTCATAAAAGAGCCAAAGTTGCCTACCCCTGAGATAGGGAGTTGCTTTCACTAAGTAAAGGAGTCATTCCCTAAATAAGCAAGGCTCAAATATTTCCTGAAGTGTTTTAAGTGATGGCTGCGTGTATGAAACAGCATCTTCCTTTTTCCCTTGTCTCGGCCTCCCTATTTCCACAAGATTTAAAAACAAACATAGAGTCACTTTGATAATTTGACAATTAGACCCCAGCATTCTGAAACAAAGAACAAACGTGTAGAGCTGTTGTCACCGAGAAGGCATATTTCCAAACAAATGGGGAATAATTTTGATTTTCTTTTTCATTGAGTCAGTATCTGCAATTCACTTCTCTTTTGGTTGTGTGCAAATTTTGATTGTGTGCAAATAGCTCAGGATTCAAGGGCCCGGGTTTTAAAAATGCTTGTGTTAGAACAGCTGCATCTGTCAGCAATGCCCACTTACATATGTTAAATGGGCTTGTTAGGCGTAAGTGTGTCCGCGTGTAGAAAAGTGTAACTGCCCATACGTTATAGGTGATGGAGAAGAAAACAGCCATATGGGAAATGCCTAATTTAGCCAAGCACAGCCACATGCATTATGCAGTATGGATGCCACCTCTTTGCCCACAGAGGAAAGATGCTGAAAGGCAACAGAGTAAAGCCGTGAAGCAGATACTTTAGAGGTAGGGAGCCCCAGCCAGACCACTGGGCCCACTGCTTTAATCCAGCATGACTGGGAGAGTGGCTAGGTTGGGTATTTCTGAGCTCTGTGGGTGCTGCTTGCTCCATCTGGTGCCTACAGCTAGTACTGCGAAAACCATATGGCTTCCCCACAGATAAAAGAAATGGAAAAGTAAAGCCCGAAGAGTCCCTCCCAGAGCCAGCACTCCCTGCAGCCAACAGATAGGATGGCACACGCTTGCCCATGCCTGTTGCGCACCCACCCCAGCCTGCCAGTCAAACTAGCAATGAAGGAAACATTACTGCGAAATGGAACTGGAAAGGAGGGACGTACTGGACTCTCGGAAGCTCCCTGGAGGCAGCATCGATTAGGAGAGAAAAAGGGGAAAGGAAAGAAAAGAAAAGGGAGTTACCCAGGTGGCCACAGCATTTAGCCGAATATTAGATATGATCCAAAATCTTCATATCCCACTGGTCTTGAGTTTGGTGGAAGAGCATGCGGTTTGCACGGATAAAGTCTCAAATTCAACCTCTGCAGAGTTGAAAAGGTTGTGCTCCCCCAATGTGTACAATGTATGTCCTGTAGTCCGAATTTGTATAATGTCCCTTCTATTTACTAGGTGCATGGATGCAGAACCTTTTTTTTCCAATCGCAAACTCGGAAATGGAAAAGAAGGATTCTCCTTCTAGATGGTGACTATCTTACCTGGAGAGTTGAAGACAGGGGGTGAGGCAGGGTTGAAGCCCACAGACTCAGCAATGAGTGTGTTGTAGGGACTGCTCCCGCCCCGTGTCTGCAGCACGGGGTTGGTCAACAGGTGGTTCCCCATTGTACCTGCAAAGAGAGTGTATGCACAAGTGTTAGGATTCTGCAGGACACAAAGGTCTGTATCTGGACAAGAAAAGGCTATGGTGGGCGGTGAAGAGTTGTAGACCAGGGGTCCACAACCCCCGGTCTGTGGATTGGCACCGGGCCACAGCATGCCAACAACTGGGCCGCGCAAACAAGTGAAGCCCCATTCGAGGAATGCAGGCAGCACACAAAACCACGCCCCCTCTTTCTCCACAAAACCGGTCCCTGGTGCCCAAAAGGTTGGGGGTCTCTGTTGTAGACGATAGGGAAGCTCTTTGGAGGAATGATCACTACAATATAAGCTAGACTGGAGCTCTATCATTTTCTTGAGAGGACATCCGGAGATAGCTAAGAAAGAGAAGGCTACTTCAGAAGAAATTGATGCAAAGTATTAGGTCAGGAGTTGAAGAAGGGGCTTTGTGACTTCCCGTTTAGGGCAGGAGATCTTTTTACTCAGCAGTATGGATCTTCCTCTTCACTTGTACGGGTGCAGATTCTCATTCTGGTTTAGGATAGGTTCATTGGAAATGATGGATGGTGACCACTCACCTCGGTTAAGTGTCGGAGTGCTGTTGAGATCACCTGCCATGAAGCTAGACTCCGTCTGTTTCCTCACAGTATCATTCCACATTCTCCGGATTCGGCTCTGAAAAGACAACCCCATTCTGGATGTAACAGAGCTTTGTCCGTTTTCCCCATTCATCTTACATTCATGTCCTGGTCTTCTCAAAACCTTTAATTTGGCTAAATCCTCTAGATTTAACTAAATCGTCTGTTCAATGACTGATCTGCACTTATCCTTGCCAGACTTTACCTGTGTCCCAGAGTAATAACGGTTGTTGCTGCGGATAGCTGAGGTCTTGAGGGAGCCTAGTGTGGCACCTGGTTGGCTCCGGAGGCAACAGGATGCATGTCGCAGGCATTTGCTGAACTCCCGGTGCACCTAATGCGAAACAGGGGAAAGAAAAAAAAAAGGAAAGGGAGAAAATGCATTGTTCCATTCATCTTTCAGACATGTCATTCATTGTACTCTGCTTTAAGAGGGGTCCAATTGATAACATATCACACCTGGAACTTCCTTTGCTGCTATTTCTGTCTTTTTCACTTACCACATACATACAAGCATTAACAAGAGAAGCACAGAATACTTACACAATATCCTTTCACTTGTGTGGATAAGAACACTTCCCAGTAACACAAGGGCTCTTCGTGCTGTTCTGTTATTTTAGCAACTATTCCTAGCTTTTCAGAAACAATCTTTACCATCATGCAAAACTAGAGATGGAACATTCGTTTACTTGCTTAAATAAGGAAAAATGTATAAACTAAAAAGGTGTCTCACTTTGTCAGGAATATTTTTTTAAATAAAGAGCACTAATTACAAAAACAACAACAACAACCAGGTAACAAACACTGTCTGAAAAAAGTCAAATATACTTTTTCTCACAAATCACGATGAGTTGTGCATGATTTAATTCATCTAGGTTCAAAACTGGAAATTTTTATTCATATACAAAATCTATGCCAATCGGATATCTTAATCAGCTAATTATTAAGACTAGTATCTATATTCTACTAAAACTCTTTTGTCTGTAACTCTTAACTAAGCAAAACGGTGCAAAACCTTTTCAATCATGGTACCTCAAACAGGCTAACTTAGAGAATGTGTCCAAAACCCAGGACACATGACTCCTGTGGAACTGAAATTTGGCAAATTTTATAAAACATTTTATGACATAAAATTATTATAGAGCATTTTATGACATAATACAAAATGTGATAAAACGTTTCCCGTGATCGAACTTCTGATGTTTGAATGTGCTGTACACTTCAACATGGGCTACTTTCAAGGCATCTACATTTCTGAATAGGTCTCCTGAATTTTAAAGAACTGTTTAAGTACATTAGAAGCTCTTCCATTGTTAAAGACATTGAGGGCTCTGGTAGGGAAATATCTCTGAAATGATGACCCAACTGTCATAGGTTGTCTATAACTGAATGAAATTATTTCATCAGATAGTTCAATGCATAACTAGTCAATGTAGATTCAAAGTATCCTACAGTCAATGCTGGTTTTCTGCAAAGAAGTCCAGGCCTCTGACTAGGAAGCCCTGTAGCCTTTATAAAGCCCCTTGATCAGCATCTTGCAGCATCATCTTCACTGGTTTTCCTCAACCTCCCATTCTAACTTGTGTCACGTTCTTCAATACCAGAACTACCCACCTTTTTCTGCAGTGCACAATGAAAAACAAAGAAGAACATGCCCTGGAAAGCATTGAAGGTAGTGAAGAGGTAGGCCATGACAATAGATTCCTTGTTGATAAAGAGGAGGCCAAAGGCCCAGGTGAGGCCCAGGAGAAAAAGTAGAGTAATGGCTCCAAGCGCCCAAGACCTGTAGAAAGAGAGACTAGTAAATTCAAGATAGGCATTGATTCCCCTCACCTGGAATATTTGTTTATTTAATATAGTATTCATGTTAAATAGGGATGGGAAAGCTTATAACTATTTGTAGACCCACTATATAAAGGGGAGGAGAATCCAGCTGGGGTGGATTCTATATGTTTGATGTTAAATTTATTTGATACTTGGGTCATTTTTTTTCTCTTTTTTTGTACACCAATCTCTTTTCTTTTTTGTTGTTGTTAGTGCTGGATGTATTTTTGTTTTGTTTTGTTTTTTTGTTTTGTATTTTATTTTTGTGGATAAAAATAAATATATTATTAAAAAAGATGAGCATTTGATAACATTGGGGCTTCACTACTCACATCTTCCTCCTACCTTCAGAAAGTGGGTTCTTCAACTTTGTACACAGGGCAAGCTGCCTTGAGAAGATGAAGGTGGTTTTTAAGGGATGGACTCAATGCTTGATGAAATGGAGCTACTGGCTAGATCAGGGGTAGGCAACCTTGGCTCTTTTATGACTCGTGGACTTCAACTCCCAGAATTCCTGAGCCAGCCATGCTGAGGGGAAAGGGAGAGGTTTCCAAGCTGAGCCATGCTAGCTCAGGAATTCTGGGAATTGAAGTCCACGAGTCATAAAAGAGCCAAGGTTGCCTACCCTTGGGCTAGATGGACCAGAATCTGCCTGTGCTGCACATTTTATGAAAAAATACACCAAAATGTTTATTTACACAACAAGCCACAAGGCGAGGGACTGGAAGGACCTTAAGTGAGATTTAAAGGTCATATAGCCTGAAGAGCAGCCTAAGAAGACAGTGATTATAAAATCCAAGGTAAGGTAAAAATTGCAGGAACACATTATTACTTCTACAGGGGCAACTCACATTCCCAGGCCTTAATGGCCCCGAAAGTACTGTCTTCTTCCTTGCTCTCTAAGAAAGAATTTATTAACTGTTCTTTATGGCTTTTCTCCCAAGGGTAAGTTTAGGAGTGAAGGAAGAGAAAGTGTGTTTGACTGAACATTGGGGTTTGTTTTTCTGTATATATAATGAAGGGAAGAGTTCCTCTGTGATGTTTGCTGATGCCAGAGGGTGAACCAGAAAGAAATGGGTGAGAAGACATGAGATGAGAAAATAAAAAAAAATTCTCCTCCAGTTCTCGGATGGGGTTGTGTGTCAGATGTTGCTAGTCAAAAAACTGCTTAGTGGGCTCTGTTTTCTTACTCATCCTTATCAAATCATGCTGACGGTTATAACGCTGCCTCTTTTACTTTTGCCCTCTGCTATTACCCTCTGCTTTTATACATGTATTACAAATGAAATGTGGGGGGGGGGATATCATATCACATTCCCCATTCACAGTTCTCTGCAGTTCTCTATCCTAAATTTAGTTTGGCAGTCATCTTGGCGTTCTTTTTTTCTTCTATCTCTCTCATACCTAGCAATAGTTATTTTAATCTTCTGGTGTTTTAAAGCATCAAAAGTATACCAAATTTAACACACAATTTTTTTTTTTTGTAGTATAACTGTGCTCCAGCCTAGCCCTTTGTAAGGTGGCCTCACACCAGAAAGCCTGAATAATTAGATATTCAGCTTTGTTTCTGAGCACACATTCATACATTTATGCTCTTTTTAAAACTTTATTCTACTGGAACTGATATTATTGAAATTAGTAAGAAGAAAGTTCCAGAAACTCAGAAATGGAAGATACCTTCTTTAGATTGAAGAACATTCAATTTTCATTAAAACAATGGATTTTGCTACTCTTAGATTCCATAAACATGTTTGTTTTCAGTCAAGTTTTTTTTAATACAGGAAGTTGAATATTCCCCGTCATATAGCATCCACTCTATCCATGTATCCTACAAAGAAAGACTTCCTCGGATAGGAATCGTATAAGAAGACATGGCCTCATTCTTTTATATTCAGAATATTATTCATATGATTGTTGTCTTCCCTTATTCTTCCCATTCCCAATAAGTTCTTATTTCCTAATAAGTTCTTTTCAAAAGGGATTTCTCACTAAAATATCCCTGATGTACAGAGTTGTTTCCCATTTCTGGATTTTGCAGCAAAGAAAGTCCAAATCATTTTCTTAGTCTCTACTTTTTATAGCAATGCTAATAACAGGCACAGGATATTGCCACATAGTGGGAGAGTCTAACATGATTGCTTTGGGGGTGGGGAAAGCCTTGGTCACCTGTTATGAGCTACTCTTAGAATCCAAAGTATCTTCAAAGAAGTGGCCCCTAGTTTTAATTATATTTTTATATTATCATTAGCCTCAATCCCAGAATCATACATGGCTTGAATCAACCTTAAATCATTTTGATTCTCAGGTCACACACATACTACTTGTTCTGCCTCCTGGTTCATATGTACCTTCAACAAGAAAGCCTTCTCATGTATACATTTTTTTTAAGCACAACATAAGTGCTCCCCCCCCGTTGTGTGACATATGAAAGATAGAATGTACATGAATTCTCTCTCATTGACTTGATATTTACACCAGCAGTCCACTAATGTTGAATGCATGTTCTTATAATTGGGTGTTTGGAACAATGGAGGATTTCTGTTGTTATACCATTTTCCTCACAGTGTAGTATTCTTTTTTCCTGGGCTGGCTCAGCAATGTGGGATATAGTATTTATATAGTTTCATTTTGGATTAGCTCAGGATTTGATCCGGTCTGCCATGCAGCCATGGAGAGTATCAATTAGTATCATACATGCAGATGTCACTATTCTGCTCAGATAGTAAATAAGTGACTGGAGGGTAGAGAAACACTATATAAATTTCACTGTCATAGACATATCATTATATGGTTACCAGGCTAGCCATCAGTATAAACATCTGCACAGGTTATGGACTAGTCAAAAAGGCTTGCCCCTAGTTTCTAATGCAGGGGTGTCAAACTGCCAGCCAGTGGGCCCGATGCATCATAGTGAAACCGCGCCCAACCCATTGCCACCAATGGCAAAAAAGTCGCGATACGTCGTGACACGTTACGTGACGTTGTGAGTTTGACACCCCTAGTCTAATGGATTTGATTTACTGAATCCACTTGGGGATTTTCCTATTCTGGCTGATCAGTGGAACACAAAAACAGCATGGACAATACATAAGACTGTCCCCATCAGATTTGACAGGAAGCTGAAACATAGGAAACAAAAGGCATGACAGCTTTTTGAGAACAGCTGGAATAAATCTTGGGATCAGTCAGGACATCAAAGGTTCAAGTTGATTAAGAACATTATTCCATGGCAGCAAAGACAGCAACAATTACCTATTTTCCACTGCATCTGCTTTTCTATCTCCTCCCCCAGGATGCTGGGAGTGTGGGATGAGAAGCTGGAAGACTTTATGCCTCACTCTAAATAGTTGATACTATTGTTTGCAAAGGAAGCATCAATAGACGCATTTTGATTTGGACTCCATTGTCAGAGCAGGTATGATGTTGTCCCTTTGGGAACTACTTTATTCTGTTGTTTAATATGCTCAGCTTGTGGATACTGAAGATCTGAACAGACTGTATGGAGAAAGGAGCCCATACCACTCCCACCATATGTCCCTCTGGAATGAGCCAATAAATACCTACGAGACTTATTTCTGGGCAAATATAGGGCACAAATATCCTTCTTTCTTTTACAGACATTCATGTATTCCCTCTGCGAATGCTATGTATTTTTCTTCTTTTTATGTCCTTTATGTATCCACATTTAATGTCTGTTTGTATATTGTTTATTGATGTATTATTATATTTTTGTTTTGTTATTTGTATACTATTTTGGGATGATTACATGAGAAATATATTTAAATGATTGTATACATAAATAGCCATTACAATTAATTCTTTTGCTTTTCTGAATAAAGACAAATATCAGGAATTGTCAATTTGTATGAAATATTTAAAAACCCCAAACAACATATTGACACATTGAGCTGAACTGGAATCCAAAATAGACATAGCTGCAAAATCATACCAACAGTGAATACATGCTTTGCAACTAGACAAATTGGAAAAACGGAAGGAAAAACTCAGCATGAAAGAACTGAACTGTTTTCTGAAAATAATAGTTGTACTCTTTTGATAACAGTATTAGGAAAGAGAAAGTACTATGTCAATTCCATTTATAATCCAAAGTGGAAACCTTCCATCTATTGCTAACTACAGATTCCAGCATCCCTTCCTAGCTAACGTACTAGAGTTTCTGTTTAATTAATACCTGCAGAGCTAAAGTTCCCCACTACTGAATTCCAGGTTTACAGGATTCTTAAATCATGTGCACATCAGGGCCATTCTATATAAACTAGGTTTATTGGATGCCTTCTGTTCAGTTTTCATGCATTGCCTGACTGAAAATGGAGGGAACCCAAACACTGATTTTCATCATGATAGTTAGAGGGCATTCTGGGAGCTGCTAAAGAGGGCATTCAGGGATTGCATTCGGCTTCATTCTTGGAACTCCTAGGGATTATCAGCCTCTCTTGCTCCAGCTACCCTTAAGCATGGTTCTGAGCCACTTGAGTTAGATTGAGGAAGGTTAATGAACTCTGCATTTCTCAGTTTGGTTGATGTTAAAATGGAACTATTTGTCTTAATTTAGCAACAAGCAAAGTATGTTCTGCCCACCAACTACAATTGGCTGGATTATTCTATTATGAAAACGAGTATAAGAAGGTGTGAACTTGTGAGTAACACATGTGTTTTGACAGTTTGTCATTTGTAAACTATGTGCTGCAAAAAAATCTTTCCCAATTTTCTTAATGAGGTATGCTTTTCACTTCATTTGCTGTTGAATAAAACAACTCTATTTATCTGGGAGAATGGGAATTCCTTTTACAGAGGTATGCAAGGTTGTGCTTTTTGAAAAACGAGGGAATGACTTGAAGAAATCTTTGCAGGGTGTTGTTTTGCAAAAACATCAGCTGTCCAAAGACCTTGGCTGGACAAATGCTTCAAGGAATCACCCTGTTTCTGAGCCACCTCCAAAGCTCAGCATGCCGAAAGGACCATTTCAACTCTTCAAACCCCTTTCTCTGGAACTAAGGTTTTCATTCCCAGCTGTGAGTTGGCAATGAGGTATTGCTGGACTAACTGATGAGGGCTTTCTGTCCTATTGTCTTGAGAAAGGTCCTACATTTAAACGTAGAGATGCCTACTTTGTCTGGGCTGGACATGTTTCGTTCCAGTGTCCTACGTTTGTTCAGATGACGACAGAATTAAGCTATTAAGATAAGGAGGCGTTTCAACCCACATCAGAAGATCAAAAGGAATCAAAAGAGAAACTTACTTGATATTATCCAGTCGGCTGGAGTCAGGCTTGAGGACAGATGTGTTGCGGATCATCTTGTGCAGAGTGATCATGAGGAACACAAGGTTGATCTGGAAGATATGTACAGATGGATGAACGAACGAACGAATGAAGGGATGTGTGTGATGGGAATTCTTTGCCTTACAGTTCCCCCGGTTAGAAACCTTTTTCTGTCCCATTCTGAGATTGGCAATGAATTCCCACTGTATTTTTTGGAATCAGATGTGCATGACAGCACATATTCCGAGCTTTGGGAAGAAAAAGGATATCTAATGGATTGGGAAGTGTTGGAATAAGGACTTCAGTACTCTACCCAGGTTTAGTTTGAAGTCTTGGATTATAAGACTGAGAGAAAAATCCAATCTCAACTACGCCAAACAATCCTTCAATGACTCACCCCAATAACAAAAGAAACGGGTCCAATGAAACTCCAGATGAAATAGTTATCAACCCGAAGCCAACAACTGCCAAAAGAGAGCAAGACATGTTTAAAAAGAGACTCAAAGAACAGTGGACATCCTACACCAGTGGTGGCGAACCTATGGCATGGGTGCCAGAGGTGGCACTCGGAGCCCTCTCTGTGGGCACATGTGCCGTTGCCCCAGCCTTGCCTCCCCCATGACCCCCTCCTCACCAGCAGTCCCCCTGGAGGAGAGTCGCCCCTGAGCGTGGCCCACACGGAGCAGCGCAGCCAAGGACATGGCAACCAGGCAGTGTAGATAAGACTCTGCCCTCATGCCCCATTGTGCACAGTTGATGTTGCGGGGCGCGGGCAGAGGGCGTGGCCACCATGGCGCTGCTGGGCTGCCTGGGCGATCTGCAGCGGGCCCTGGAGGTGGTGAGTGGCCCTGCAGGCAGGCGGGGTGGGGGCGAGGCAGGGGATGGAGCGGGGGCAGGGCCAGTTTTTGGGCACTCGGTCTCTAAAAGGTTCGCCATCACTGTCCCACACCTTCACTACTGGATACAGTAATTTGACTGGCATGCAATGATAATTTCACCAAAACGTGCTTGGAAACCTAGATTAATTCCTTGTTCATCCAACTGCTTTGATCTTCAAGCATACCTTTCCTTTTGCTATCCCTTGTCTTATCTCTAAATTTTTACTTCTTCTTTCAATTAAAATCTAGTATTTCTACCACATCTCAAAGGATAATGTATTTATCCTTTTTCTTAAATTTACACATTGGATCTGTGATTAAAACAGAACATCATTCTTGTTCATCCTCCACCAGCTGTGGCCCATCTACTTACGCCTTTTCAGTGCCATAGCTGCGGTAGTCAATGGCGGCAGCAATTCCCACTACCAGGGCAGGAAAACAATAGCCACCTAGGTAGTAGTATTTCCTGCGGGAATACTCGCTTTCAAACACTTCAACCAGCATGAGGTAAAGGTGAATGGCCTCCAGGCACATCCAGGAGAATGCTGCCAGGAAAAAGTAGTGAAGCAGCCCAGCAAAGATGGGGCAGGCAATCTGGGGTTGAAGGGAAAAGAATACTAGTTAGCATGGATTTCTGTGTATCTTTGGGAGGGGAGGGGGAATATAATGATTTATTTAAAATCTCTACATCGTGCTTCCAGTTACGCAACATGCAATTTATATGTTGTTGATATTAGAAAAAGAGAAGGATGTCTTCATCTCTACAAATCACTCTGTGCACCAATGGCTGCTCTTTAAAGACTGTCCAAATTCCAAACTGCAGCTTCCACCAGCATAGCCAGCCTGGGTAATGGTGAACAGTAATGGAATCTCTTTGTAACAATATACGCAAGGCCACAAACTGTTTCCATTTGTTGTGTACATTGTCTCCCTGCAACAATATTCTTTCATTAAGTCACCCTACTTCCACTCATCATGTGCCCTAGGACAGGGGTCCCCAATCCCCGGTCCGTGGACTGGCACCGGTCCACAGCATGCCAGAAACCAGTCCGTGCAAACAAGCGAAGCCCCATCTACAGGGTGCAGGCAGCACACAAAACCATGCCCCCTCCAGTCCGTGAAAAAAACCTCTCTCCATGGAATGGTGCCCAAAAGGTTGGGGACCTCTGCCCTAGGACTTCTTTAGGGGCAACTGAATCATCTCCAGTTTTTGGTTGCTTGCATCGCAGTGCTGAATTGTATTTAGTGTTTGCTTCCCCAGTCTTAAATATTTCTCCTATCACTTATAACACAGAGATTCTTCTCTGAATGTTGATAAGCTGAGATTATACTATTACAAATGCTCTTGAATTCCTAGAAGGATCTATTAATCTCTTCCTCCCTGTTCCCTCTCTTTGCCAACTAATGAGAGTAAGCTGCTCAAGTTTATCTTTTTTTAAAAAATCTTTTTCAGGTGGACACATAGCCTAAAAAGACAGGCAGATGTTTCCCCTACCCCCAAACCCTCATAAATGGGTTCTATTCCTGCTATGGTTATCATCACCACCACTACACAATCATAATCAATGCCATAATCTTAACACTATGCTGTTGCACCGAGAAGGGGCAGCAGGTAACTTTCCTCCATAAAGAGAAGGGAAGGTGCTAAAGGGAAGATGCTTCACAGAGAAAATAGAACTCTACTTGCAAGCTAAGTAACTCTTATTTTCATATATATATATTATTGAAGCTTTTAAACAAGAAGATAAAAACTAATATAAACTAGTACAAAGTAAGGAAGGAAAAAGCAAAAGCAAAGAAAAAGCAAAAAAAGTGCAAAAAAGAAAAAATGATGAAGAAAACTAGAAGAAAAAAATAAGATATAAAGTGGCTTCTTCACAGCAGTTATAAATATAAATATATTTTAACATCTCTCTCCAAAGTTATATTGTATTATTCTTTCTGTAATCTATCCTACGATAACCTCTCACTTTCATGACTTCTACAAATAAATATTTGAAACCATGTTATCTGAAAATCTTTTTGCAGTCTAATATTTCTTTAGCAATACACAGAGATCAGTGAGATTTTCAGTGGAATAACAGTCCGAGGGACGTATGCAGGCACACACACACACATACACTATTTTCTGAATCGAAAAGGCTTATCAATGTCACCCTGAATTTGGCAAACCAAATGAAACCTAGTGAGAGCCCCATCCTAGCATATTCTACCTCATGCCCCCAATGTGCCTCGCAGATCCCACTATGCAGAGGAACAATCCATGGTGGCTTTGTATATAATAGGAAAGGAAAACCATCACATACCTCATATTGTGTCTTGTCAATTCCAATAAGAAAAAGGAGCTCAGTCATGAAGAGATTGATGCAGAGGTTCTTGTGGATGGTGTTGCGGTCAGTTTGCAACCCACGGAGGAAACAAAAGGTGGATATGCAAATGGCCAAGCAGACCAGAGAAATCACAATGCCCACCCATGTGATGACAGACAGCAAAAGTTCATTGATGCGGCCCTGATACTGAAAAGAAAAAAAAGGAAGAAGCCTGGTGAGTGTGGTGCCCGTCCCCTTAGCCGCATGCTAAATTTTATACTGAACTAAGTAATTAGAACAATGGTGTCCACTATTGGGTAGCCGTGATGTGCTTTAGTCATTTTCCAAATACTGTGGAGCCATTTCACTTTTATTGACATCATAGACCGACCATCTTCTTAACATTTGAAGAGTAACAGCTCCCCTGATTTTACATATGACCCATACAACAAGATAAAGATTCAGCATGCATTAAGAGTTAAAAGGATGGCCCCAATGACCGGAAACCATTTCCCTCCACCTAACAAGCTGTCATATTTTCTCCCGCCCTTCTTTAGGTGAGTGGTATGCTTACAATTTCGCGGTGTGCCATGAGGACAGCAAAATTGGTGAGATGACTGCAAGCACAGGTGGTGTGGGTCTTGTTGGTCTCCATCAACCGGCAGCCCTGTGTGGACCAGTATCCCATCATGGAACGCTCCGAATAGTTCCAGAAAGAGCAATTGGCATTGAAGTGATTCTTGTCCTATGTGGAAACAGAAATGGGTCTGAGTGTCATCAATAGCATAAAGATGGAGGGGGGGGAAGGGCACTTCCTGAATACAGATAGTTCATTATACTGGAAAAAAAATGTATGACTTGGTTAAAAGTGAATTTATACATGCTCAAAACATTAGCAGTGAAGCCTTTACAAAGTGTAACTTTGCCACTGTTGTAGTTTAGTGTAGATTACAAGGCACAAGTACCAGGGTATGGGATTTATTGAAATGTGCAAAGACAAGGAAACAGATAGAACGATCCCAGGAATCATGCTTATCTCACCTCCAGGTGGGAAAGAGTAAAGATGACAGGGTCCATAAGGAAGACACGACTAGATTCCTTGTTGATGGAGGCAGCGATAACTTGTGAATTGACAACAAGTGAGGGGCTAAGTGGACCAACTTCACTTCCAAGCTTGATTGTGGCATTCTCAGTAGAAAGGAAAAATCCCAAATTATTGTAGAGGATGAAAACAACTTTGACCACCCCTACGAAACAAAGGGAAAGGAGATCAGTCCTATAGCCTGGGGTGTAATAGACAGGATCAATTATTGCTAGAAAGGGAGGAAAAGAGGTAATTGCATGATGATGGTCTCCAAGGATGATGTTTATCAAGGTCCTCCCCAAATCTGGAATTCCTTCTCTTGCTCACCATTACGACTGTTTTGCTTGATTGTGTTGGCTGATAGCTGGATTGAGTTTCTGGTGGTATATTCATGTGGGAACACAATATCAGGCACTTGCCCCTCTGTATTTAACACAGAGACCTCCAACACTACAATGGGAGAGAAGAATGGAATAGGTTAACACAAAAATGCAGATCAAATAATAAGAACCTGTAGTAATTATCCTTCTTTGAAAATTTGGTATCTAAAAATGTGCATGTTTCTGTATAGATACCGAATGTAATCTTCATGTTTCTCCACATTTAGACTACCAAAGTAGAAATAATAACAATAACAATAACAATAACAATAACAATAACAATAATAATAATAATAATAATAATAATAATAATAATGTTGTTGGAAGGGACCTTGGAGGTCATCGAGTCCAACCTCCTGCTCAGGCAGGAACCCTACACCATTTCAGACAAATGGCTGTCCAGTCTCTCCCAGTCTCTGTCCAGTTTCAATCTCCCTTTTGTCTTGCTAAGTTTATACTATGATCTTCAAAAATACTTGGTAAATATTAAAATTATTATATCTATTTTGCTTCCCTTAATACTATATTTTGTTATAATCAGTTTTGCCACAATCATATTGCAACAGTTAAATTATGGGCTAAATACAAGAATCATGTCTAGGCAACTGTACCATTTCCGCTTATCCTGATCCTTTTTCCACTCCATTGTGGATGGTTGTTTTCATTTTGTATCTAAAAAGAGCTGGAGCCATTTTACAATTTTATTGCTTGCTCTATTGCTCTGAGGTCACTTAATCCAAGCAGCAGTGACACACCAGAGGAACCTGGCAGGAGACTAGGGTTCTATATTTATTATTCAAGAGCTATGAGTTCAGTCTGGCACCAGACACAAAAGGTAAGCTTCTCCAGGTTGCCTAGGCAAGTTATTAATTTATAGCTATGCAGAACACTATTGTGAGAATTTTTTGCACACAAGGAAAATGGTTTGCAAAACTGACTGGATTTTCTGATTTTTTTGGGGGGGGGGGGTCTAGCTAGCATCACATAATATGTCATTTCTGTGTAATGAAATGGCTTGGACTACATTGCTAAAAAGTTGGCAATAGCTTAAGAATGGATTTGACCTCAAGAACAGATAACCACTGCCTGAGATACAAGAGGGTACCTACATTTTCAACCGGGCAGGATATGGCCAAGAGATTGGATGGGAAATTTCTAAATTGTACCTCTCCTAACCCTACTCTTCTTTCTATTCTCCGGTTTAATACCCTATTCCAGTGGTGGCGAACCTATGGCACGGGTGCCAGAGGCGGCACTCAGAGCCCTCTCTGTGAGCACGCGTGCCGTCGCCCCAGTCCTAGGCCTTCAGCTGGGTTTTATAAAACCTTTTCGCTTTAGACCTCCACCGCCGTGTGCAAAAAAAAAAGGTTCAATCAATCAATTTCAACTTCTCGCGGAAAAAAAAAGATCTTGCAAAGTTGGAATTGATTGATTGAACTTTTTAGTCCCACCCAGTCTGCTGTTACTACCACAGCGATGCCCACCTAATGGGCCACGCCCACCCAATGGGCCACACCCAGCCAATAGGCCACACCCACCGGCACTCGATGATGCATAAGTGGGTTTTGGGTTGCAGTTTGGGCACTCGGACTCTAAAAGGTTTGCCATCACTGCCCTATTCTTTTCTACTTGTTTTAACACCATCGGCTGCATTTGCCTAGGAAAAAAACATTTTAATGTGGCATCTAATACGTAACCATGTTTGGTATGATTCTGACCATGGCAGCACCATCTTGTTCAAGAGATGAATCCAAGCACCCTTTAAAGTAGCAGCCTGGGAAGTTGTGAGTCTATTTCTACATCACTGTAGAACGTGACAGACACGTAAAGAGAACTCATCATACATTATGCGTTATGGCTGTTAGTTCTACAGAACAAAGCAACGTGAAAAGCATTTTATAAATTTCTGTGTTATAATAATCTTATATTATTATTTTATCATTGCAATAACTTTGTAAAGCAGGCCAACTGATGATGCTTTGACTGAATGATGAAAAGATATCCTAAAGCTCACTTGATTAAGTGAGATAATGGTAACATGCTATCATCCTATCCAGGGCTATGCCAAACAGACCCAGTCTTGTGCCTGACCAGTGAAAACCTTTCTCTTGTTTTTACCCCGCAGATCTATTTGTATCAGGCTCCTGAAGTAAGGAAGTGGGGAATGCTACAGATATTATTCCCTTATATATATAAAATGAAGAATAAATGAAATTAATGCTGCTTCCACGTAAGAAACCTGTTTCTCCAATGTGTTATGCAATGGAAATACAGATTACATTTCTATGGGTGCGACGGAGAAATAAGGACACTGCCAGAAGGTATAACTCAAGAGCCTTTAAAAAGTAAATAGCATCTTCTTCTTTTTTGACAGTCCGCATTTGATAAAGGCTCCCTCCTCCCTAGGTTTACAAAGCACAGGCACTGTGTACAATAATGTTCAGTACACACATTTTGAAGAAAGAATGGTTGGCTGCTTTAGAATTGCTCCAGAGAGGCATATGTCTGCTGCACCCACACACTCTGTGAAGTTCCCTTCTTACCAATTGACTTCTTCAAGATAAAGCAGACAGACTGATGCTTACCAACATTATTCTTAGCGGTGACAAAACGGGCTGGTTCTTTGACGTTGTCAGCCAGAAGGAAAGCTCCCTCTTCCAGGATATCAAGCAGCATGGTGGCAGTGTGCACTTGCTCTGTGGCATTCATGTCCTTCCACGATTCCAGTGCCTCTGGACGCAGGAGGTTGTCCACCGTCTCCACCACAGCCTAGAACAGTGATGGCGAACCTTTTAGAGACCCAGTGCCCAAATTGCAACCCAAAACCCACTTATTTATCACCGGGTGCCGAGTGGGCGTGGCCGCGGTGGTTATGGCAGACTGGGTGGGTGGGGCCAGGGTGGCGGGGGCCAGTCCCTCGCCATCTCCGGAACAAGGCACATGTGCCCACAGAGAGGGCTCTGAGTGACGTGTCTGGCACGCGTGCCATAGGTTCGCCACCACTGGCCTAGAATGACATTGAGTTTTGAGGAAATGGATCCACTTCTCATAGTCCGTTCCCTTCCAACAGTTCTTCTGCTCTCGCACTTTCCTTTTCTCCTCTTTGCCATTGAGCAAAGATGGCTACAGATCCATTCTTCATGCTACCATTTATATTTGACAGACAAAAGATACGTATATTATTAATCTTTATCCATGACNTCCATGACACCCTGGGTGTTATGCATTTTTTTAACCCTCAAAACCTGGAGGTTCTGAGATTGTCATTTTGCTATTGCTAGTTAGGTGCATCTCCTGAGTAGAATGGGCCAATTCAAAGATGCTACCATTTATGGACATACTGTAGTAACTGTGTATTCTCTCCCCCCCCCCCATTTTCTTACCTAACCTGCTTATTTATCAAAATTCTTGTATGGATGGAAGCAGCTTTTCAATTTCTGAAATGCTAATTCTGTACTCAAGGCACAGTATTTTCCAAAAAATCCACAGCTAGAAAACAATTCTTCACCTCAGGAACTACAGGCATTGCTCATCATTACTTTTATTATTATAAAGTGGGCAAGTACTTTCCACCAGCAACTATAAGATACAATTATTTTGTTTGCAGGGTGAGAAGTAGCATAGCTCCCATGTTTAAATATTTATTTAATTTATCACAGTTTTTGAAAAGTCATTTCTCTTTTATTTTTAAATGACTTTTCCCTCTCAGGATGTATCCTCCAGATTTCTTGGAAGTTCAGCCACCATAGCTAACATCTTTTATTTATTTAGTCTAGGGATTGAAGTTCAACACAATGGGATGATGCCAAGTTGAGAAGTTTGACTTAGAATTTATTTTGTGTCACTCAGTTCAAGAGCATGCATTTATGACCCTATTCCAAATAAATGATCCGCAATCTTTTATTTTTTTTTTAAAGCCCCATCAAACTTTATATTATATTAAATCAGCCACACTGATTTACTAGTACTAGTAGCAGTAGTATGTATTGTTTCCAATGTTAAGGTTTTTACATATGGCTATCTCATGTGGGATGTTTTGTGGATATCTATATCAGTTATATAGCCAGAACAATTTAAATGAGGACCATTGTTATACAAAGTACTTTTCCTGTGTAATTCATGTAATTAAGTGAAATTCATCTAAGATTGGACAAGACCAAAGAACAAAAATATTTTTGGTAGCAAAGCATGTCCTTCCTTCCCCAAAAGATTCTCTTGTCAGTTTCCTTATAATTTCCACAGGTTGCTAAACATTTTCATATATACTACTAGAAAAGTTATACAATATGAGTATATCAGGTGTGGGATATAAATATTTTATATTTTAATAAATATCAACAAACAACTTTTTAATGCTGCTCTAAATTTAGGGTACTTCTAAATGAAACACTTTCTTTGATGTAGAAACATGCAGGTCTCAGAGAAATGTCAGCATTTCCCTGAGAACCGCAGATGTTTGACAGGTTACTTCTTGCCCATAGCTATTCCTACCTGAATTTAAAACACTGATGTCCTCACCTTGATATAGTCTTTGCAGGTCCTTTCTCTCTTATGCATCTGTAGAGTACAGCATACAAGCCCAGTGTCAATGATGGTCCATATACCAAAACAAGGAGAAAATAATTAGAATTCCCCAGAGGCCTCACTCTACCCCAATACATTTTATCTATGGGTTTCCTTGAAATGGGTTGTTCCGGTCATAGAGTCACCAGATACCAGGCAGCAGGTAATAAAAAAAGAAATATCCTAAATGACAACGTGAACCCAATTTTAAATTTTAATTTACTGGTTGTTATTCAAAGAGACAAGTTGAATTTGACAATTTTTTAATTGTATCCATTTTTTTTACCCTTTTTATTTCCTCACATTGTACCTTTGATCAAATTCTTAAGTTTTTTTTATTTATGCTTTCCGGTCTGAATTCAAAATTATCACCAGAATTGTCAAATTGTAATACTAGACACTTACATAGGATTAGGTCATATTAGCTCAATAACACATTAGCTATTCTTCGAAGGCATTCACACGATTGATCATTATTTCAACATTCTGCACTGTTATCAGCAGAGCTAACACACAATCCTATAGGAAAACCAATAAAACATGACCAGAGACTCTATATAGCAGCAACATCTGGTAGACTGTACCACAGAATTAGCCATTTAAAGATATTTCTTCATAACTACTCTCATATTAAAGCTAATAATCAAGAGGCATGGAAAACTAAATTGCTAAGTGTTTATTGTAAGTCAAAAAGAAAAAAAAAGGCATGCAGACGTGTAACATGTATTTGTCCAACCACTGGATGTTTAGGCTGCTAAAAGGTTTATGTCAAATTGCTATTCTGTTTCAGCGGTCCAGAAAAGTGAAATATAAGGTCAGGACATACAACCTGCTGAGAACCACCTCCCAGTTAACATATCACCATGCACCTTGTTGTAGTTTTTGCCAGCTGACTCCCTCTCTATTGGACGCAGTGCCTGCAGTTGAGCATCCAAGATATCTAAGAGCTGCTCCATTAATTTGACAGAGGAACTAACATCTCCAGCGTAGATGGCGCCACGCGTATGTCGGGCAAGCTCGGTAGCAATGTTGGCTGCATTCTCTCCACTCTTGATCTGTCAAGAGGAAAGAAATACAGACTAGCCTCAATCCAGCAAGAGAGTTATGCAGGCATGAAGAAGCCTGATACCCATTGTGAAGATGAACCGTCTGATTAACAACCAGAGGGCAGGGAGAACTTCGGGGAAGAAAACGATACCTTCTGGGCCACCTGGTTGACCCAAGGACTTGTGCAGTTGCTGAGATCAGGCCCACGTGGGTTCCAAATACCAAGGGTAGCAACGCATTGGAAAGAAGCAATACCTGTGGGTGGGACAGCAAGAAAGACTTGTTAATCAGTTTCAGCTGTTGCGGTTTCAGCCTATCATTCCTATCTGTTCCCACTACAAAAACAATCCCCTGAAGAAGCATTATTAAGTTTGTCGAGAGCTGGCTTCCCAGGTAGATTCTTCCCTTGCCCTTAATTACCCTACAAATATGCTCCAGCAGCATCTTTATCCAGCCACATCTTCATATTGCTGTTTTCATCACATCCCAAGCTCACAATTGAGAGCTACACCAGTAGCTCAGTCCAAAGACAGCCTGAAGGTGTATGAAGATTGAAATCAGGTAGCTGCCATAGAAAGGCAAGTTGAGAAACAGCAGATTTCATTCCAGTACAGGTTTTTGCCACCTCAAGGCTAGCGCTACAACTTCTAGTGTTGGCTAATGGAAGAATCACACCCTGCCTGAACCCCAGCTTCTTTCATTTGGATCTGGTAAGCATCCAAAGGCATTCACCTCTTCAATAAAGACCAGAACAATTTGCCTAAGGCTACCCCTGGTGAAGCTGCTTATTTTTACCTCTCGTGCCCTTTGGGCAAGGCCTTTCCACCAGCATGCCTTGTTGTGTGGCTGGCCACTGGACACGCCTCACCTCCTTTGCCTCACAGAAGAGCTCTGGAAAGATGTGCTGGTTGTTTGCTGGTGGGCGGCGGGTACTGGGCATTACGGCAGTGACTGTGTGCAGTTCTGTACCCTTCTGATTTATGGCACCTATAGGGTGGGTTGTAAGGGGTGGCTGCCGAGTGGTTGTAACAGCAGGTGATATTGTGCTGGTGACAGTGGTGGGATGAATAGTGGTTGTCGTGCTGAGTGGTGTTGAGGTGACTGGGCCTGTGGGTAGAAAGACAGTTGGGGACAAGCAATCCTTTCCATACACAAAATATCCCTCCCTTCCCATTCAGGTCTTCAGTTGTAAAATTTTAATTTTTAAAAATGCCTATGCTTATTACAACTCCACTTTTAGTGATGTTGCTTTGCATTGATCCAATCTTATGGTACATCTTGATTTGCAGTGGATCCGTAAAATTTTCAGCAGAGACTCTTTTCATGCCCTGTATTGCTATATCAGTTCCTTTACCCTAAAAATATCAAGAGCTGTACTTAAAACTTTGCACATGTAAAACATATGTTCCCTTGCTGAGTTCTCACCACAGTATTACTTATTTTAGCCAGAAAATCTCACTGAATGGAATCATCATTTAATCATGATCACATTTGTAACAAAAGATGCAGTTCTCCAGGTTATAAAGAGTCCCAGATTTTCTTTAGTATCACAAATTCTAGTTGCCATGGTTGCAAAAATATATTTTTTTTAAAAAAAGGGGAGATAGTGATTACTAAATGTCCAAATGCAGAATACTCTGAAAAGGAGCTAATGATACCAAAAGAATTATATGTATTCTTTCCTCCTCTCTATTGATTCCAGCCCAAATTTTCTGACCCGTGTTTTACTGCTGGCAAATATTCCATGAGGCTCAGTATACAGTATATTTCTTTATATATCAGTGTGTCTGGATCTTCCCTATGTAGATTATATAAACTTCAAAAACTCATCAAATTTCCAGGTTATATTACTTTTTGATTTCAGTATATCTAAGATGGTTAATCTGGACCAGCTTCCTCATATTCCCTTAGCCCACATACCATTTATGATAACTTCTGTCAGATCTTTCTTAGGAATATGAAATACAAACCATGTCTTCACACTGAAATTCTTTTTAATTTTAAAATATAGCAAACTGTAGCATTCAGTGCTAATTTAAGTAATTTAAGTAATGGCCCATCCCATCTAAAAATATGCGTGACTCCTTCAGATACAACTGATCCATTATTCTCACTAAGGCTAAATCCCATTCATCCAGCCACAGCATGGGGATGTTAACTGTGGAAATGCTCAGTTTCAAATGCCATTCAGACAGAAGCTGTTCAACTGGAATGAATGGAGTATGTATGAAAAACAAATTAGTGGCATATTGGAATAAACAGATCTGAATCTGGCCCTATACCAGAGCATGACTAACCTTGAACCTCTTTTATTCAAAACAAGACTGAATTTTTCTCCTTCTGCCCAGCTTTAAGGAATTAGTTTTGTAGCCTCTAGGCTTCTGCCAAATACTGAACATCAGACAATCCATCTCTCAATTTAAACTCCATGTGATGTTAACTGTCAGAACTTCAGGCGGATGCTGACTCTGTTGGGATCACAGTGAGTTTGAATTGAGGTGAATAAACTTTCCAATACTTACTATTTGACTGGAGCCTTGCAGCAAGTAGCACAATTAAAGTTATTTTAGAAGTCAGTGCAAAAATTTAAGCCTTTCTTTTTAAAGTGATATTGTTAATACATGCTTGAAAGTTTCTTGAAATATGATTATTGTCCCTTGTATCAAATAGTAGGAGCTGAGTTGCCTCAAAAACTTGCAATCACTTGTAGAATATGCAAAATATATGTTTGCTTTATTTAATTTAGCTCAAGTAAAGAGATAGCCATCAAAAGATATTTAGCTGAAGTCAAAAGATAGCAATCCTAATTCATATGCAACTGGGGACTGGTGATATATAAGCTTTAAGGTAAAACATCTTCTGGAACCTGGTGCTCTCCAGATGTGTTAGCCTACAAATCCCAGAACTTTCAGTCAAAATCCACATAGTAATTCTAGTGCTCCAACCCAGCTGGAACACATTGATTTAAAGAAAGTTGGTATAAAATGTATATTGAAGAATCTATTTTTAAAAGATAATTTCATAAGATCTATGTGGCAAATTGTATAATTAGGAAATTCATATCTATGCAAGTTGACTCATTCTTTTTGTCTCCAGGTATTTTTATCAATACTATAAAAATTAGAACAAAAATCCCCATAATTTCCAAACACTGACAGCTCCTTTTTTTCCCCACCCAAACTTTTATCTTAGGATAATAGCTCACCAGTGCTAGGATCGGGTGGACCAAACTCAAGAGAGTAACGCAGAACAAAATAATTATTCCATACATAAAGCTGATTATCACGGGGGTTATAGTCAATGGAAGAGATGAACTGGTAAGGATTAGGGAATGTCAGAGAGATCGGTTCTTCACGGTTCATATTAGTATTGAAGGCATAGTCAACACGATTCCCTGCAGCCTCACTGTCGTCATCAACATAGACTGTCCGTGCCACATAGAGGACTCCACACACCATGAAAGCATTGGATGCCGAGCGTTTGTCATAGCCAGTTTCCCATGTGCCTTCAAAGCGTAGCGTATAAGGATTGAGCTGGCTTACCACTAACCGTCCATTGTTGCTTTCAGTGGCATAAATGACCCATAGCCCGTTTTCATCAACAGCCAAGTCAATGTCAGTCTTGCCACCCCAACGGTAGGGTGAAGTGTCATGATAGTTGGCTGTATTGATAACCGTTTCTCCACTTTTAATCCGTGTCCGCAGATCATACTTGATAATGTTGCGTGTCCGCTCTTTATTGTAGAAGACTGCTCCATCATACACCACAAAGCCAGTGCCATCGACTCTGTTGGGCAAGCGATATGTGGTGGTATGTCGGGCACTTACATAGTCTTCCCATGAAGCATACTCTGTCAGGGTGTCTGTCCTGTATGGGATCCAAGGCATGACATATATTCGGTCTCCAGCTTGAAGAGGATCCTTGCACCAAGCTCCAGACTGGTGCTCTGATTCATGGGCCGAGGTAGGTTCCAGGATCTTGTGCAGCGTCCCTGGGCAAACGAATACTAGGGAGGGGATGTAAGGGAGGAAAGGATGTTTGGGTAAAAGGGGAAGGGTGAAAATTCAGAAAGAATGTGACAGAACAAGGAAAAAAGAAAGAGAGAGAAAGAAAGAGAGAGAGAGAGAGAGAGAGGATAAATTTGTAAAAGGTTGTTGGCAGGAGAAGTGAAATCCGCGCTGAGTTTTCAGAGCAGCTGCAATCATGACACTTGTATCTGTTATTGAGCTGAGATGGCTCAGTGAAGTTAAATAATGGGAGGGATGGGTGGGGAGCATCAGAGGAAATCAACACTTTGTCCAGATCAAATTAAAATAGAAATATAAGGATTCCAAACCATCCTCCCCCACTTTGCTGTACTTTGAAATTTAGCAGGGAATGTTAAATTGTTTCCCTGCCAAAGTCTAAGTAATATCATTTGGATAATCCAGAAATATGAACAGGAGTACTGGTGAACTTGCAGCTACAACCCCATTCCCTCACCGTATGCTTTACTCATTCTATGGAGGTCAGAAGAGTTAAAAGCTCTGGAAAAGCAATTACAATGAGTAGACCTCACAAATCCTCTCCACTGGAGATACCTAGGGGATACATCTAATGGTATGGAAGTTAAAGCTTCCACATCACATCTTTGAAATTAAGTATGGAATTGCTGCACTGTCTATCCTAAGGAATGAATTGAATAGTGTGAGGAGTAGTGTTGTTAGCTTTATAGGATTGATAGTCCTTTATCTTCTATGGGTATCTCTAGAGAAAGGACACCTTTTTTTTTACTTTATTGGATACTTATAACATATTGGTTCCAGTAAATCTTGAAGTGCACTGATCAAAGGATTATAGCACTCATAAAAGGAATTTGCTTCACCAACTCCATGGACCAAGATTAATCTATGCCCGTCATCATGCCGCACCTAAAGCCAAGTTTTACGTTGGCATAACCATCAATAATAATGAGGCAGAAAGAAACTGGACCCATTTCTGCATCTACAAAGGCAATTATTAGTGGTCATTCTTTTCCTTGGGATTGCAGTAATTAGCTAGAATATCAGAGCTGCAAGTTAGCTCAGTGCAGTTCCTAAAACAGAAAGTAATCATGCATTTAGAAGCAGAAATTAGGAGCCCAGGTTTCAAACTTCCATTGCTTCAGACTCTTTTATCTCACACCCTTCCGGGAAATGTTCTTCTACATCTTATCACTGTCTTCCAAGCAGTTCTGAGGAAATGCCTTCTAATGGAAAAAGAATGAGGGCCTGCCAGCCTGAAATATTCTACCATTATTAAACATTATTGAATGGGCAATGGGAAAAGAAAAACAAGCACAAAATAATCCAAAGCTTGGCTGCTTAGAAGCCCACTGAATGTAAAAGACAGGGTGTTTCCTCTTCCTCTGAAACAGACTACTTTTAAGCCCTGGGGACAGAGAGCTGTAGATTAGCACAGGGACTGTCTCCCTTCTGAAAATAAGAGCTTACAGAATCATAGCAGAAGGATGAAATTACCCAAAGCTTCTGCTTCCCATATCCTGGGTGCCATTGGAGCAATTTATCAGCCAGGTTTGATTCGGAGCGGCAAAGGACATGAGGCTAGTGCACATGGCAGGAGGTGGAGGAGTGAAGTGACAGTGGTATGTCTGTGTGTGGGGGGGAGGAGGAGGCTGGGCAGAGGGGGAAGGAAGCCCCTCCCATTCACCCACATCCCAATTGGCTGCCCGTAGTCTTGGGAAAAGCCAGGAGGAAAAAGTTTGAAAGGAAGACAAAAACAGGCCAGCATTCTGCAAGTATCTGCCTCTGGTTAGCTGGAGCAAGGCTGGGAGGAAAGAAAAGCATTTAGTGGTGGAAGGAGGGGTGGAGTGGATTGAGGAGGACAGGATGCAGCAGAGAATTCACCTGTCCATTATAGCGCAGTGTTACTAAGCAGCTATAGAGAAGACACTGGAGCTGTCAAACCAAATGCAAATTGTAGGGCTTAAAGGCTGCAAGATGTTTTCATTAAGACCCAGGACTGTACTGCTCTGGTGTACAGGTATCGACACACTGGTATAGGGCGAGGAGAAACTGGATTGTCAGCAACCCAGTTACTGCTGGGTAGAAGCTTACAATTTCCACTATGAAAGTTATTTTTCTCACTCTGCAGCCTCGATGGCATTTAGGCTTTGTTATAGCAGCCCTAAACGGTCTGGCAATAGGTTTTGTGGATGCACTAGTGAATTCTCTGCTCTCCCGTTATTACATCTGCACAGTCACTATGAAATGCCACATCATTCCAGATATAGCAAATCTTATTGGAGTTGGGGCATAACTTAGATTCCACATCAGACTATACCACCACACATGTAGATGAGATACACCAACAGCCCTAGAAATGATTGGCAAATAATCCAGGAAGGAGACTGGCAACGGTCATGGAGGAAAATAGCATTTTTGTCAATGCCAGCTCTCATAAATATTTACAAATACCCCTCCCCTGATTTCCCAGAACTCAGGCAGAGCTACAGGGCAAATGGACATATCCAGTTTTGCATAAAGGTGATTAGGTTAAGATTCTGAGCACACACTATGCCATAGTTTAAAATGTTTAAATTCCCTCGAAATCAACAGGACTTATATGAGCTTAAGAGTATGATGGACGGTTGCTTTCAATGGTCACAATCTCTAGATAACTCCAGAGGGGGCAAGCAGGGCTGAGTCAGCAACCTGGTGAGTTCGCTCTTATTCACAGTGTTTGGGTCTCCATGGAGATGTTGTGCTGCACCCTACTTAGTAATAATAAATAATTCTGATTAATAAATATTCTGCCATTCTAGCTGCTGGCAAATCCTGCCTCTTGAGCTCATTTGAAGAACTGGTACGTGGAATGGAAAAGAGGTATTCACAGTGAGCAATAATGAGTTTTGAAGAGGGCTGAGCCAGGGCTTTTCTAATGTACGGACCATACTTTTATTTTATTATTATTTTGTCTAAGAAGGCTGGAAGGGCTATAACCAATAACACTGTGATGACATCAGAAATGTTCAGCCTGATTTTGAAGAGTGAAAGAAACAGGCTTTATTAGAGCTGAGGATGTCTTTTAATGTCCAATAAATATGTTGGTTTTTCCCCGGAGGGTTAACATATCTATTTTCCTCCTTCCCCTGCTGTAAAGAAATGCTGATGAAATTCAGTGTTATGATCTTGGGGGCTCTAAGGGAAGGAAAAATGAGGTTGGAGAAGCCACATGTGGCCCAAATGTTGTCTATCCCGTTAAGAATATGGATGCTGGCTACTATAAACCTAACTAGTAAGCATTATTCCTTCCTTAAAAACTGGAGATAGTTCTCAAGGACCCAGGATGAGCGAGCTAATGGTTATTTGGAAGTTACATTTCATATTACAGCTATAATGTGCCACAGTGTATACATTTTAACTTTTTAAGTACTCTAAGTAACTCATGCAAAGATTGCATTGATATAGCAGGCCAAGGAAGACCACCTGCAATTTGCCTATTCACTTTTAATTAGGAAGAAAGAGAACTTATTTTGTCTCATTTACCAGATGTTTGAAGATAATCTATTTAGTCTTCTTGCATACAACAGAGCTATTATTTGATGTATAGTACAGTGGAAATGCAAAGTGATAAATGGGTTTACCACTGTATGGCAATGAGTCAGGGAGGAGAGAAGTCAACTAGCCTAGGTGTTAATGACAAGGTCTGTTAAAGATCCCTATAGTGTTTTCTGTTGTGAATCATCAGACAAGAACCGCTTAATGTGAAGCAGTTGGATTTTATAGTACTGCATGATGTTCCTTGTATTAGCTATCTATCTCTGTCTAATCCATGATTTTCAAACCTTGTCATAGTGAGTCCCTCTAAAGTTAAGAGCAAACTCATTCAAGGCTCACTAAGTGTAAATTATGACCATTTCAGAGGTTTTGTCTTTACTGACATGGGGTTCAAGACTTAATTCTTAGGACCATGTTGGTGTTGCATCAATTTGGCTGAACACAATTTTTACTTTCATATTGATGACACCTGTATTCTACAAGCCACTTTTTATATCTTTCAAGCAAAGATCAGTTTTACTTCCAGAAATGTTATTGTTTTTTTTATATTTGTGTCAGGAAAAAAAAAACACCAAACCCCTGGAGCATAATGTAAGAAATAACTGTGTACATCGCTCCTGTTGTAAAATAAGCCTAGAAATAAATGTTAGCCATAGAGAGGATTCCATAGCAAGGAACCTCAAGGTGTATGACTTGTTCAAGTTATCAATCACTGATCATGATACTTTCCTCCAATATTTACAATGGACTGTTCCCTTTTGGTAAGGAAATTGTTTCTCTGCTTATTATTGGGAGGGGCCATGTTGGATTTCCCAAGCTGGAGAAGTCCCTCCCCTACTTATATCCCCAGAAGATAAAAGCAATCACATGGCCAGGGATCCATATCATGCCCAAATCCATCCAACTCTCCTGGGAAAATGATGGTCATGTGTCAGGGAAATAGTTCATAATTGAAAATGATGTCATAGGTGAAAAGCCAGAATCTGAACCTGAGAGCTCCAAATGCCACGTCTACTTACTCTTCTAGCACCTGAAATCTCTTGGTACTTATTAATGGAACTTTGAGTATTTTTGTCTATAGAGTAGCCTTCTAAGTGATAAATTCAAAGGAAAGTTGTCTTTAGCCTAGCAATTCCTAACCAGCCTTATCTACAGTATTTCAACAGTATCCAGATGTGTTGAACTTCATTTGCCATTGTTCTGAACCAAGAAGGCCCTAGGAATGTCTGGCTGGTCTACATGTAACTATTTAAATCTTGTGCCACTATTCTGTTATGCATTGCACATTGTGTTTTTCCTTTCTTTCAAATAAGGCTGTCAATTATGGGACGGAAATGGGCAGATTGCCTGGAGCCATTCTCTGATCCTGCTTCTTCAAAACATGCAGCTAAACCCAAGAAAGGGCACTACAAACTTGAAGAAAAAGAGGGGCCTCAAGACCAGAAGTACTATGAATGTCATGATTTACAGTACATCAAATTTTATGCTTTTCTATAGAGCAATCATGGAGATGGATACACATCCTTATATCTATTGATGCTTATAAGAACAGCTGGACCATATTTAAAAGTATACTGCCTATTTAACGAAGCTTATGGTTTGCATTTCTTTGCATTTGTGTAAGATATTTGTTTGCACATGTGTGTTTTTATATATATGCAATACGTTCAGATAAATACACACTCAAACGCATGCAACTATATTGTTCTTAATATAAAGATATTTACATGCCTCTGGTTATGTATCTATATGCCTCTGGTTATATAGGTATTTACAGGTAGTCCTCAACTTACAATCATTCATTTAGTGATCATTCAAAGATACAACAGCACTGAAAAAATGACTTATGACCGTTTTTCACATTGCAGCATCCCCATGATCTTGTGATCAAAATTTGGATGCTTGGCAACTGGCACGTATTTATGATACTTGCAATGTCTCAGGATCATGTGATCACTTTTTGCTCCTTTCTGACAAGCATAGTCAATGGGGAAGCCAGATTCACTTAACAACCAGACTAACTTAACAACTGCAGTGATTTTCTTAACATCCGTGGCAAAAAAAGGTCATAAAATGGGGTGCAACTCACTTAACAACTGTCTTGCTTAGAAACAGACATTTTGGGTTCAATCGTGGTCATAGGTTGAGGCCTACCTGCAAGTGAATGTGCTGCCTCCACTTTTTATTTTCACCCATCAGACTGGAGATGTCAGCTACAACATAACTTGATCTGAGCAGTGGTTTGTTTTACATGAACATCTCTGCCATTTTCAGTTTCTTGACCCCCATTTTGAAGCTAAGGAACCTTAGATGGGAAAGGATGGTGACAGGGAAGAGGTGGACAAGATTCAAAGAATTTCAGGGCTCTAATCTTGCCTCCCTGCTCTGAACACTTATTTGGCAACCTTGCCCCGAAGCAGCTTCCTGGACTTTCACAGGTTCAGCTCAACCCAGTTTCCCATCTGGGTTGGTGGGGTGGGATGGATGACTCCTGGCACAGGGAGGAGAAACACACCATTAAAGAATGAAGCGCTGGAGAGGGAGGGGCAGCACAAAGCGTTAACTGGTTCCGATCCCTCATGGATGGGGTAGTGCCGACTCAGCCTTCTAATTCGGGATGGGGGCAACTGTGTCTGGGGTTGGGGGAGAAGATGTCAGAAACAGAGAAGGAAACGATCAGTAAAAAAAACCACATCCAAAACCATGGAAACCTGTGGAAAAGAAAAGTATAAGTATATGCCTCCATCCCCAATCTTGGGAAAAAAATTCCAAACTAATATAGTAGGGGGGGGGAAACGTGCTTTTAGAACAAACTAAACAGAGAGAAAGAGAGGGGAGAGGGAGAGAAAAGAAAGACATGGTTTGGGTAGAATCAAGCCTGGCTTTTTAGTTGTACTGCCTTGCAAATAATTGGTTGAATTCCTAGATCTAACTTGACAGCTTGTCTCTTGTTCAAAGAGGCTCATTGCAATTGTGATTTCAGATACTTACATTAGGTTAATAAATCTAGTCAATAACAACACATTTACTGACCCCCTTCTTTCATGCACCATCCCCATCTTCCCCCAATAACAGACAGAGTCAATGATCATGACTGCAGCTTTCTTTAAATTAAAAAAAAAAAAGCAGAAATGGAAAAGAATTTTTTAAAAAACACAAAATCACCCAGGATTTGATCAGGAATTAAGAAAAAAGAAAGGAAGGAAAGAAAGAAGGAAAGAAGGAAGGAAGGAAGGAAAGAAAGAAAGAAAGAAAAAGAAATATGTACAAAATTTAAAAATGCCTACATTGAAGTGGTTAGTATATCAGAATAATTTACTTCATACATATCTTTACTTTGGGCCAGTGGTGGGATTCAGCCAGTTCGCACCACTTCGGCAGAACCGGTAGCTAATTTTTTGTTGCCCAGGCCCAGAATGGACTTCCGGAAGCGGCATCCACACAGAGAAACGGTTGCTCACATATTTGAATCCCACCACTGCTTTGGGCTTATCTAATTTCCATGTCATCTTGATAGGTAGAACTCACCAAAAAGAGAAAAAGGCTTTTCAAGCTGACTCGGAGTATATTTGCAAGGAAAGTAAACTCAATTTGAGATACAGCTTGGGAATTCTCATCAAAGAACTGTACAAGCTTTGAGTGAAATTTCCACTGAAAGATGGATTACAAATGAAGTCATTAATGCTCAGCTTTAGCAACACATGATTCACTTTGCTTGTCAGAGCATGGCGAAGGCTAAGTTTATCCTTGTTAGGGTGATGTCACTTAGTATGAGCATCTATTCCTTAGGTAGTATATTACTAATTGTAGACTTCTCCAACCTGGTGGCATCCTGACTAAATTACATCATCATCTGCAGTCACCATGGTCAGGGAACTGTCAATCAACACTTCTGGAAGATGGGGGAAGGTTCCAATGTGTAAGAAGCTCAAAAGAACATCCCCATTACATCCAGTAGTGGATTTTTTTTTTTTAAAAAAAAAACCCTTTCATTTCAAGAGAGCACTTTGAGGCTTGGGAGAAGGAAAAAAGGCCCCATTGATTGCAGGACATCTACTTTTGCTGAATATAGGATCAAAAGGTATACATATCTCCTGGGATCTTGTTGAATGTCTAAAACCCAAATGGCTTCCATAATGGTAACAATGATCAATGTATGCATGTAAAGACTTTTTAAAAATACACAGGAAGCCCTGGAAGAAATATTTGAAATGCCCAAACTGCAATCAAAGTGTGTGTGTGTGGGGGGAGTGTGTGTGAATTAAATAAAAACAAACCACCTATTGTTCTTTTGTAATTTCAGAAAATTTTAAGCATAGAAAGAAAGAAAGAAAGAAAGAGAAAGAAAGAAAGAAAGAAAGAAAGAGAAAGAAAGAAAGAGAAAGAAAGAAAGAAAGAAAGAGAAAGAAAGAAAGAAAGAAAGAAAGAAAGAAAGAAAGAAAGAAAGAAAGAAAGAAAGAAAGAAAGAAAAAGAAAAGTGGTTGAGGTAGGCCAAGGTACCCAGTTGGTTGCCATGGAAACATGAAGAAAGGAGCAGAGAAAATCAGTTGAATGATAAAAGACGCAGGCAAGAACGGTTTGGAAAAGTGTATTTCCCCTGAAGGAAGCAAAACCAGAGAAGGACAGGCATCGCCCAAGCATTCATGGTGCTTCCCCTCCACATGTGAGCACGGAAACATGGAACGTTTGGCAGGGCTGTTGTTAGATGATGGCTTTACCTCCTTTATTTGCTGAGTGGCTGTTTAGTGATTGGCAGATTTGTTTCTAGAGAGGATGCCAATTGGAATTAGTGAGACCAAAGAAAGAAGAGGAAGGGAAGCCAAGGGGAGGGCAGGTGGGAGGTTAGGAGAAGAAGGGGCAGGGAGAAGAGGGAAAGGAAGGTCACATTAAATATGGCCACAGAGAAAAAAAAACAAGGTGCTGGGTTAGGGGTGGGGTCAGTGGTAATGTTGTTGTTTACCTTTCTGTTCCACTTCTACTTTATGCATCGAAGGGAGAGAAGAAAAAATATATTGAAAAAAAAGGTGCAAGAAGGAAAAAAAAGAGAAAAGAGATTAAATTCCTTTTGTTTCTCCCCCACCCTAAAGTAGCCATTTTTTTTCTTCAACTGTCCATCTCCCATCCCCCCAATCTTCCCGCCCGCCGAACAAACACCAGCCCCTCCCGCTTTGGAGTCACATCAAGGCAGAGAGCGTGTGGGGTTTGCTGGGGGAGGTCTCCCCTGGGTCTCCCCCTCCTGACAGCATCTGAACAGTTTGAGGTGTGCAGGGTCCTCCTCCCCACCCGCCCTTAAACTTGGTGCCAGCGACATTGCCCTTCAAAAGAAAAATCAGAAATCAAAGCCAACCAGGAAGGACAACAAAAGAGAAAAACACAAAAGGGGTCTGCTGGGTGGAAAGCATTTGCAGGAGAAAAGAGCAGAATTGGGGAGAGAGAAAGAGTAAGCAGAAATATGAAAAAGGGAAAGAGTAAGACTTTGAAAAGAAAAAAATACATTCCCCAAACCTTTACTTAATATCTAAGGAAGGCATACCCAACCTGACCACAGCTATGCTCTACCTGTTCACCCACTCTAAATCCAACCAAAACTATTCTTCTATAAATATAAATCAATATATATTTCTACATATTAGTATTGTTCCTATGTCTCTCTTCCTCATGGCATAGGTCCAAGACTGCCAGTCAGTTTTTAAGATGAGGGGCAGACTCTATGGAGCATTTTTATGGGTCTCACCGCAAATACATCAACAGCAAATTTGTTTTGTCCAAGGGAAGGTCGTACTACAGAATATATTGCAGTCACCATTATTATTAGTCCCGAGGAAGGGGCTTAAACCCCTTCTACCTGTACCTCAGTGTTGACTCCTGGTGACTGCAGGACTAGTCCCTGCAGTTTTCTTGGCAAGACTTCAGAAGTGGATTTGCCATTGCTGCCTTCCTAGGGATGATAGAGGGCTCTGCTCCATGTTCACCCGGCTGGCTTCATGCGTAAGGCGGGACAAGACTTCACAGCCACCCAGATTTTGCCTGATTCCTTAATGTCTGCACTAAACTGGCTTTCACCTGTAACTTTTAGAGTAATTTTAAACTTCTGAGTTTAACCCTTGTTTTAGAATTTTTAAACCATTTAGAATTATCTGTTAAATGTGTACTTTTTTGTAAGTCACTGAGAGCTCTTGGAGTGGGCAGCATCTAAACTTATAAGTACAACTATAAATAAATACATTTTCTGCAGTTTTGTAGATATTGAAATGCAACATTCTGCAGAGTCTAATGTTCGGCTAACTTGGAAGTAGCTCTGAAGACATTTTAGGAAGATCTAACCCTTAATTTAGGGCTTTATGAAGACATTCTGCCATTTAGCTACAGTTTCTCAACTTCCTATCTAGATTAAAATCTCAAATCACAGGCTCACGTTCAAAATTAAAGAATACTAGTTACTAGTCATTCCAATGCTCACGCCAGGTGTTTCTGATAAAGGGCTTAGAGATTCTCTATAAGTAATACCCAATCTTCAATGGACAAATGGAAGATTCCTAGGACTGGCCCCAAGTAATAGAGATATGATAGATGGCAGGTGAATAATTTAGAAGGTAGTAATATATGAGTTAAGTAATATATGAACTAAGACCCTGATGCAGCTGAGGCATCACACTAGAAACTGGGAATCTGGGAGTTCTACCATCAAAGCCAGCTAGGTAACCTTGCGCCAATCACTCTCTCTCAGCCCTAGGAAGGAGGCAATGGCAAACTACTTCTGAAAAATCTTCCCAAGAAAGCTGCAGGTATTTGTCCAGGCAGTCTTCAAGAATCAGACACAACTGAATGAAATATATACATACTGTATGCATATGCATATACATATATGTATGTATTTTCTTTCCCCTTGTTGAAGAAAAGAACAAATAAAAAAAAACAATTCAACTGGTAAAAAAACAACACATATCAACAATTCAGATTTTCAAGAAATTTTCAAGATAAATTTTCTGGAGTTGATCAGTTTATAACATAATTTTCCAGGCATGTTTTATTGTCATAATTATAACATTGCATTTATATTATATTGTTAATATCATAGTGAGTATATGGTTCTCTATTAATTAGTTTAACCTAACAATATATATAAGTTAAGGCCTGTCAGGCCTCATTTCTTTAGATACATTTATTCTCCCAAAACAAGATCTAAAGCAACATATATTGGAGTGGTGATTTCTGAATAATCTACTGCAGTGTTACACAGGACAAAATTAAGCAGATATGCAAGAAGGAAATGTCAGAAGTAGCATGTCTTTACTCTCTGATGGAATTTTTATAATAAGAAGCAGGAAACAAAAACAAGGATATAGTGTTATAAGGAGAGCTGTAGTTTGAATGAAGCTGAAACCTTTCTGAACTCTATATAAATTATGGCATACAGTAGCAATCACACCAACTCGTGTTCTGAGCCCAATGGCAATGTGTGTCTAATTTAAGCTGCAGTTCAGAATGTAAAGGGTAGCTCTATAGTGTGGTAAAGGCAAGACTGGACAACACAAATTCATAGCAAATTTGTCCCAATTATCTACTAGTCATGATGTCTAATTAGAACCTCCACATTCAAAATAGGGTTTCTCTAAGGTTCTTTTGCTCTTTTTTTGACTGTGACCTTTATGGAAATATCTGTCTGCCCACAATATGGAGACAGTGCTAAATTATATCTTTCTGCTTTTTATAGTCTATTATCAATATAAAATAAAATTTGAGTAAAAAGAAATATCAGAGTAGTAAGGTTACCCGGAGGTGAACTTCGTCTTCAACTGTAGAAAGATGCATAAAGAGCACTTTCATAAAATTAACAAAATTAACATAAATGCAATGGTATATGTATTTATATCATTGGCATATGCAAATGGTATAAATACACATATACACAGGAACACAATGGAAATTTTGCTAAGCAAATTCATGCTAGGACTATCCTGGGAGTCCATTAGGACATGCTCAAGGCACAGACTAGAGTGAGAGGTTAAAAAATAAAAAATCCCAGAAGAGGGTAATGGCAAACTACTTTCATGGGTTACCAAGGAAACTATATGGATATGCCCATAAAGTCATCAGAAATTGAAGGAGACTTTACATTTCACAATTCAAAACTTTGGGGAACACTGTATGGTCCCAGATGACTTGGCAATAGAAGAAGATAAATTATAAGTTCATAGTATCTTCAAATTCTGTCTCTATAATTCTCCAGTTTATCTTTTGCAGGGATTAATTTGGAAGGGTTGATCTTAACTTTTCAGTGCCTTTAGCATATATTAAAATTAAACATTAACAGATAGGATATTTTTGTTTTTAAGTTAATGAGACTCTAGATCAGTCTTTACCTGTCTGATGTCCTCTGTAAGAATTAATAACCCTAGCTCATATGACCACTGATGGTACTTTACAGAAGATAGGAGTTGTAATCCATTGCATCTACTGGGTATTAGCAACTCTCTGAATTGCTAAAAAATACACCAATGCTAATGTCAGAATCAGCATGTGCAGTACATTATTTACTGATCACTTGCATAGAATTTGGAGAGAAGAAAGTAAGAAAGACTTATACACCTCTTCATAGTGCTTTGCAGCACTCTCTAAGCAGTTTACAGAGTCAGCCTATTGCCCCCAACAATCTGGGTCCTCATTTTACTGACCTCGGAAGGATGCGAGGCTGAGTCAACCTTGAGCCAGTTAGGATCAAATGCCTGCCAGTCGGCAGAGTTAATCTGTAATACTGCATTCTAACCATTGCACTACTGGGGCTCAACATAATATAAGTGGTTTGCCAACAAGTTTTGTAATTCAGAAGATTAGAATTTCATCCCATAATTTATTAGAATGCTTATTAGATAATTATTATCTATTATTAATTATTTATGAGCCTTATAAATACAAGTTTCTTGTATATAAAGGAATGAATTTAAATTGTGGGAATATATGTGTGTAAACAAGAATATAGGGATTGATGGTAGAACAGCTGAAGCCAGCAGGATCTTGAAGCACCGAGAAACTGTCACTCAGACAAGTTTAAAATTAGATGGTTTGTACTAAGCCTATGGAACAGAGGGTCTCCAAAATTAAAAGACAACCCTTTTAGGAAGTCAAACAACAGTTGACTGGCACCTGGCTAACACTGCAGATTTCTGTAAGAAAAAATATGCCTAGACATTTAATTTTGTCGCTGGAATCAACTTTCAAGAAGGAGATTCCAGTTATAGACTGTCAAACCAATGAAAAGTGTGTGTGGGGGGAGGAAGGGAAGGTATTTCTGCTCCATAGGTTAGCCATTAACTAAATTAACACCATACTTTATTGCCTTTAAAAAAATTATATAACCACTTATACATTTTATATGTCAAAAACCACACATAGCATTGGGGTATTAAAAGGAGTTCGCGTAGAAGAAATTCCTAAGTTCTTACAAAAGAACGTAGGATGCTAATATAAAGTTTATATTTTCTGTCCTCTCAAGGGCAAAGTGTAATGGAGTCTCAGGTAAGATGACAACTGCATAATCAGTCGCAAAACTTTCACTATTTGTCAGCTCTATTGGCAAAGGACATTTCAGGCTAATTGGGCCCAAGGTTGATCTATGAGAACCACTTCTCAGAGTTTTCCAAGAACCACGCACCACCAGCTCCCTAGTCAGAAATACAATTGGAACATCAGAAGTCTAGAAGAAATGGTCTGAGTGAAGAAGATCAGGATAAAGGAAGACTGCATCGGCAAGTGCTCATAAATAAGGACAAGTAGATTGCAGCTACAGAGACAGCAAAGGCCTCCAATTTTGCCAACACATAGGTGTGAGCAGAGAATCAATGAAGAAAAAAAATAGAATGATGAAGACTTGTTCTATTAAAATAAATCAAGGCAGAGCTCCTTAAAGAATCATGGAGTCTGCAGCAAGTCCTAAAACTTTCCTCATATATCTAGTCACTTTGTACCTAAGCTATT